TAACTTTTTCTCTAATATTTGCCGTAAAGAAAATATTTGATCAATAGTCGAACGATTCCGTCTAAATCCGCATTGGTAGTCTCCGATAATTTCCTCGGCGTATTCCGTGATTCGACTGGTTAAGATTAAAGTGAATATTTTATAACATACCGGAAGGAGTGAAATTCCTCGATAGTTATTACAATCCGTCCTCGGACCCTTTTTGTGAATCGGAATAAGAATAGATTCTTTCCATTCTTCAGGTAATTTCTCATTCACCCAGATCTTTTTAACCAACCGATGTATTTTAGAAACTCCAGCTTCCCCGCATGCCTTAATTAGTTCAGTAGGAATATTATCGGTTCCCGCTGCTTTATAAGATTTTAATTTTCCGATAGCTACTTCAACTTCCTCTTTACTCGGTCCTTCTATCAACGGTTCAGCACTCTGGTACTCAGAAGGAGGACACAGATCATAATTTCCCGTATTTAAAATATTGTCAAAGTGGTCCTTAAACTTATTCAATATGTCAACCGGATCGGTCAGAATATTGTTATTGTCATCCCTAATTCCAGACGTTACGGGCCCTACACATTTACGTGATCTGTTTATACCTTTGTACATGTCTCTTACGTTATTTTCGATTCTATTAGTTTCTATTTCAATTATTTTATTTTTAAGATACTCCCTTTTTTTATTTTTGAGCAATTTTGTCGTTTCGTTCTTTGAGGTTCGGAAGTATTCCAGATTGTCTTCGCTAGGATTATTTAGAGCTTTTAATTTAGCGGCTTTTCTTTTTTCGCACATGTTTAAGCAATCTTCATCAAACCACGGTTTGTTATTCTTATTTTCCTTTTTTCCTAGACACGAGTTACCGACCGCTTTAATATTATCCCTGATCTCTACCCATAACTTGTCAATATCCTCGTGGTCCTCGTCAGGAAGCTCTAAAGCTTCAAACCTATTCTTAACATCTAGCTCGAATTGGTTTCTAATTGATGGATTTTTTAATTTTTCCAAATTAAAATTCTCAAAATCGAAACGGTTTTCTTTTCTCTTTTTTATATTAAGTTTTTGTCGAAGTTTCGCGATTACTAATTCATGATCCGACCCACATTCTGCTCCGCGATAAGACCGTACATTAATTATACTGCTTTGCCAGCTATGTTGTATCAAGACATGATCGATTTGATTTCGTGTTTGCGAATCCGGTGATGTCCAAGTATATTTATGAATATCCTTATGTTTAAACGTCGTACTTTTAATTATCAGGTTTTTCGAGATGGCAAAGTTTATCAGACGGATCCCATTATCATTACTATATTCGTGCAAACTTTCTTTACCAATCGTCGGAATATAAACTTCTTCCCTTCCTACCTTTGCGTTCGCGTCACCTACAATTATTTTCATGTAGTTTCGCGGTAGTTTATCATAAACCCATTCGAGTTTATCGTAAAATTCACTTTTGACTTCATCGTCACTGTCTTCGGTCGGACAATGTATTTTTATTAATGCGATTTTAAACCAACGTCCCTGAAATATAGCTACCGAAATTCTATCACTAAAGAATTGTACGTCCCTCAAAGCGGATAGTAATCTACTCCTAATTAGAAACCCGGTACCTAAACAATGATTCCCGCTTCCTCCGTACCAAATAGTGTACTTTCCTTCCCTCATCGAGCCCTCCCCTGGCCAGCGAACCTCTTGCAGAGCCACGACATCCAAATTGTACCCATTTACCTCATTCGCGACCGATTTTAGCCCCCTGCTGTGTTTAAACTCCTTACGTTCCATGTACCAATATTTAAATTCTTATTTTTCAACTTGCGCCATGTATCCCCTAAAGTAGTTCCCACACGGAGACCCCAACGGGGAACTAGTTTACCTCCGGATAATGAGCGCTTTACATTAGAGAAATCCATGACTATTTGTGGTGTGCGATGAACTAAAGATATGTGAGTAGGGCGTTCAATCCTACGTCACACCCTCCAGCAAGTCTGGAGGGCCGCTCTCATTGTTGGTCAGCGAGTCCATTGGACTTCGCCGAGAAGAACTTCCAAGGAATTTCCATCGACCATCTCCACATCCGCGGTGATGAGCCCGGGCGAGAAAACCTACGAACTTTAACTTGTAATATAATAATCCTTTAGTTTATCAGCGTGAATTTTATTATGGATTTCCTTGCTGCTGGACTAACTATAAATCCCGTGCTGGCTGTTGCATTTTTATCTATGAGTAGAATAGTGTATGCCATCTTCTGGCAATATTACCTCTTGAACGGTATGTTATTTCTTTTTAGTTCTTTGACTATCGTTTTTGTGACTCATGGTTACGTACGATAAACTACATACGATCCAGGATCCAATACATACGATCCGTCATTCAAGGCCAAGATCGTTACCACATTTAGACCGTCAGAATTTCCGAGACTTCGTTTTAACTTCGTAATAAGGTGTTTTTTCAGGATAGGCTAATTAGCTCTATGCCCAACCCCCAAACTGGAGGACCAGAAGCTATGGTGTAAGACACAGGAATCGTTCATCTCCCTGTGAATCTCTCGATGGGGACGTAAGCAACTAAAGTATTTGTACAATTAATTATAAGATATTTATTGAAACATTCATAAACATGTTTCAAGCCCAACATCATCTCTCTGCAGGTTGTGCAGGGAGATGATGGGGCCGATATCACGCTCAACCGCCAGGTTTCCTCCTTAATTATTTTTTATAATTAAGAGTACCCACTTTATAGAGGCTGGGTCACCCCCCGGGAAGGGCTCCCGATCCCAGAGTCGATCCACGGCTAATGAAAAATTACTAGTCACTAGCCGGATTCGAACTCTATATGTATGTAATATTACTATAAGGATTTTATATTATTAGCTGTTTTAGGTAATGTTATACTATTGAGTGTTATTGTAAGCAAAAATGTAACTGTTCCCAATCCTATGGAACCTATCCCCCATATACCAAGACTTTCCTTTAAAATAATAAAGAAGACCAAAGACATATTCTGACATACTTAAACATTGCACTCAGAGGCTTGGTGCTTAAGGGGGAGAGTAGTTACAGAATGAACTTAATCCGTAACAAATAATAATAATAATAATGATATTAATTTAACTTTTATTTTGTTAAATAACACAATTGGTGAATCATGTTTTATCTTTTAGTTTCTCACGACTCAAATCATAAAATTACAAAGCCCTAGATAGCCAGGTCAAGCTATCTCTGATAGCTTAGAAATAGCGGTCTAGAATGTACTGATGGGACAGAAGACCCATTAAGACTTAGGGAACAATAACTGATTTCAGCAAAAGGTCGCTGTCTCACAGACTTCATATCAATTCTAAAAGATAAGGATATCAATACTTAATAGTAAAACTTCATTCACACACTTCCTAGACCGCCCAGAATTGATTCACCCCTCTACTATTTCTGAGTATATAACCCCCATGCTCCTCAGACCAAATTACTCATGTAGTTACATTCTTATAGTCACAATCTTCACTGTAGGAGACCTGGAGTGAACTCATGTAGTCAACCCATTATCCATAGTATATTACTCTATATTTTAGATGCCATTTGTAACAGAGATTAAGAATGAAACCATTACTTATAAAGTCTTCACTGCCTCCGAATCGTTAACTTGACGATAAAATACTCGTCTGTTTCTCGGCAAACACCGCCAAACATCCATTGCTCAGGTAGAACTCTCTCTACATGATTTATTTCTTTTAAAAGACTCTAGTCTACTTCAATGACTTTACCAGGCCCTCCAATTTTTCTACTTGACCTGTACAACATTTTATGGGCACAAACCTCTCTTAAAAATTGTTCCACATTATCATAGTTGCCTTGGATAGTTTCAGCTGCTCTTTGGCCCACTGTATCGTTAAATTATGGGAACGCCCATAAATTAATGACCGCCCAAGCCGTTAAAAACGAAATCCTTGACCACTCTAACCACGATCCTTTCCTCATAGAAATGTTTTTGTTAGAAGTGGTACGAAAGCATCTCCATTTCATCTTCCTGTCTAACTTCATTTGATGACCTTATTCACACTATTTCACGTTTGGAATTATCCTGGAGTTTTGAAAATATTAGATAGCCTCTTCTTCTGAAAACGGCAATTCTCCGAATGTAAAAACATCCATAATTTGAAGAAAATCACACAAATGGAACAAAAATAAACAATGGAATAACTCATACATTACATGAGATAAGAAGGGAGGTTTCGTCCCGACCGGCTATCAGACAAGTACCTCCAAAGTTATTGATGTCAGTTAGAAAAGCAATAATTTAGCTTTACGATAGTTATATTAAAGTTGAATTTGAAGAAAATCCTGCGGTGTTATGAATGCTTTAGTTGGAACTAACTATATTCCCAATATTTTTCGATGTGTCATTGAAAAAAATTGCTTGAAATGGGTGACCCACTGATTGTAGCCTCTCAATAACATGATTTGTTAAATAATATGATGTTAAGACAATTTTTTAGAATTTACATTTATTTCAAATAATTTGGTTTTAGATATTACTTTTGAAATTAAAAACAAACTGGATTTATAATAATAACTGATAAGAACTTATAGTAAAAAAAAATATTGATTACAAACTTTCAATAATTGCTCTCCATCCATACCACCTAGACATTACCTATCTATCTAAGGTCTGTTATAAAATAAATTTTAGCCAGCCCTTATCCAGATTCAAACCTCATCTGACTGGAAAATGTTGTACTTAGCTGCTCAATACTTCATAGTACCAACAAAAACAAAACAAATTTAACTCCAATTCAAGTCAACTTTCATGAAACTAAATTGTTGGACATTTTATTTAGTATTAAAGTTTAAATCTTAGTTAAATAACACAATGTTAAGACAATTTTTTAGAAACAGCATTTATTTCAAATGATTTTGTTTTAGATATTACTTTTGAAATTAAAAACAACTTTACAAACTGAATTTATAATTATAATAACTGATAAGAACTTATAGATAAAAAAAAACTATTACAACCTTTCAATAATTGCTTTCCCATCCATTCCACCACTCCAAGCTTTAGCAGTTGAATCATCCAATATTTGAGATTTTGATGGAAGATATATTAGATTAATAATCAAAACATCTATGAGATTCTTCAACACCATGCCATTTATAAGGTCCCCTTGAACAGCATTTACCTAAAGAAAATTTTCAAAAAGATTCATTTCTAAATTGTAAAAAATCACAATTGCAATAATTTTACTGTTACTACATATTTTATGTATGGGTAAGTGAAAGTTTAAATATAAAGTAATGAAACAAGAAATAAACATAAGGTATTTACAGAGGTTTTATTTAATTTAGATGTGTTTACAGTTGCCAAACAAGCAGAGGGATTAATGTCTATTGCCAAACAAAACGATTTTCTAAAAACTTCTGATAGGGATGAAATAACTAATCCAGATCCACTACCAATTTCCAAAATAGTTGCTGGATTCAGACTTCTGAAATGTAAAAACATGAATATATGTTACTAGTTCAGGATTATATTTTAGAATACTTGAGCATAATTTTAAGAAGTGTTGTCGAAAATAACATTTTATTTTCACTTACCTGTATATGAAATATATAGTAAGGTAAAGTATTATGATAGTGAAAATTTTCGAATCCGAATTTTCATCGGAAATAGATGTTTTGAGGTCTCCTGAGTGCAAATAACCATGCCCTGTAAAATTGTGTGTGTGTGTGTGTGTGTGTGTGTGTTTCAGTATTATTAGACAGAAGAAATAATTTTCTTTTTCTCGGTCAATCACATTAGTTCGTTTAAAATAATGAACCAAAACATTTGTACATTAATATAGACTATTAAGATAGAAAATTTGATTCTTTTAACAGAACCGGTTTGCAATGATACAAACCACGGTTTTAAAGAAATTTTTCTATGGATTAAATGATCCTTTCAGTTGACAGAATGACTAACTCCAGTTTCTACATTTTTGAATAAAGTTATTTTCTTGATATTTTTAGTTGAAAAATTTAGACAGTGAGTAAGTTGATTCCAGAGCAGGTGATTGCAGTGATGAAATATAGAACTGTGAATAAAGGTATACATTTTTTCACTAAAAATACCACTAAAATTAATAATCAAAAATATTTATAGCCCCATAGAAGCTACAGCTCTGTACCAGGTGTTCTCTCCCCCCCCCCCATTAGCCATTCACCCACCACTACCCATATCCCCCCATCCCTACTCATTTCCCTACCCCCTCCACCGCCCTAGAACACTTGAAACAGACTGAGAGCCTATGCAAAAAAATCGACATTATCTGAAGAAAATTTTGAAAGCATTTTTGAAATTTATAACATTATATTTAAAAAATGAGAGTCTGCCAGTCGGATTATGCTACCTGTAAAAATGGTGGGCGATTTAAAGAATATTAGGCCATTATTTTGAGGATCGAAACGGGAAATTCATGGGGATAAATGTTTTTATTTTTTTAACTTGTATACCTTATATGGGTTTAGACATGTAAAAAACAAAATCGCTTACACGGGTCCAACTTACACCAAGGGAAAACTTTTTACAGCAAATAAAAAGCAAGATTTTTCTGATCTTTTCTCGTTTTTTCATCTACAACAACTAAACAATGCATCGAATTGAAAAAAAAACATTTAAAAAAAAATTAAATTTCTGCTTTGGATTGGTCTATTGTTTTTAATGAATAAATAGGTAATATTTTTGTTTGTTTTCAATTAGAAATGTTAATATAGAGGACAATAACCCTTAATCCTTAATTCAATGAAATGATTCTAGATTCCAATATTTACTTTCTATGGAATCAAAATGTTTATTCAGTATCATTAGTTCAGTGCCGTTTCTTGCAGTACATTTCTTAGTCTCCGGCTTTTAATTTTTTCAATATTAAGTTTAAAAATGCCTCTTAGTGCTGAGGATGTTGCGCGTGGTGTGGCACTTATTGATGATGGACGTTCCATTAGATATGCAGCTAATGCCATCGGAGTTTCATATGAAACTTTACGAGACGCCGTCAGGCGTTTTCGGGAAACTGGTTCTTACAATAGAAGGCCCGGTTCTAGACGGCCTAGGGTAACAGAACCACGGGATGGCCGGTTTTTGAGAATTTTACGAAACCGGCACCTTACCGTTGTTCAAGCGATTCATCAGCTCGAAGAAGTTCGAGGTGTGCAAATTTCTGAACGTACCGCTCGGAGATGATTAAATGAGTATGGATTAATGGCTTTTCGTCCAGTAAGACAACCAGAGTTTACCAGAACTCACAGAGTAACACGGCTGGCTTTTGCTCGAGAACACAGCCATTGGACTATGGACGAATGGAGTCCTGTACTTTTTACAGATGAGTCAAGATTCGCTCTTCGATCTCCAGACGGGCGTGAAAGGGTGTGGAGAAGAAGAAGCGAAAGATATGCAGCCTGTAATTTTTCCCAGAGCCAACCTTTCCAACGTGGTTTCTTAATGGTGTGGGCCGGGATTTCAATGGAGCACCGCACAGAATTGGTTGTTGTTCGTGGAGGGTCTTTGACGCCATTCGCTATGTAGATGAGATTTTGGAACCCCATGTGTTGCCTATCCTCAACGAAATTGGCGATCGTTCGATTCTAATGCACGCCCACATGTCGCCCGCATAGTGCAGATGTTCCTTTTCCCTATATTTCTTTTTTATTTTAAATAGCTGCTTTTTGTAACTTTTTTTCGAAATTTATTTTCACCATCCAGGGGCGAGAGGGGGTGCACACCCCCCGGCTGGATCCACTAGCGATAACAGCATTTATATACAACCATTATTTGCTGATGAATTTCTGGGCTAATGCTATATCTCGATCATGAATATTTTGACCCTCTCAAAGGACATGCATACTGTACTTACCAGAACTGCTTTTTTCCGACCTGAACTAATGAAATATCTTAACACAATCCTCATATATGCTCAAGGGCACTATCATAGCATTGTCCAAGAGCAGCGCACCATGCTTCCTTTTCTTTCTTACCAAAAAACTTTCTATAGGCTTGATACTGATGAAACTATGGTTGAAGTATTTACTTTTCAGGGTTAGTATACATTTGGGTTATCAGGCTTTATTCTTAAGATGAGCTGAACTGTCCTTTTCAGGATCATAAAACCTGTACCAAAGGTCACAGTTATTAAAGTAGTAGCTTTACCCATCCCAATGAATGTTGGTCTGAGAGTGAAGGGACCAAACTGTAATCTATTGAATCATCTGATTCCTTAACTGCAATAAAATAAAATGAAAATACATGAGATAAACAAAACTGTAGAATATCAAGCACTGTTTTATCACAAATAAATAAAAATCGACAGATATGTAAAAATACTATAATTAAATAAAAATTTTCAACTTTAATAACTTAATTTCTTTATTAGTTAAAATATAATTTTATTAAGCTGGATCAAGGCTTAAACTAATAAAGGAGATTAACAAATGCTTACATATTTAAGAAAACTGGTCAGATATTACTTCACAACAAAGACAAAAGAAAAGGCTTGTCATTGAAATCAATCATCAACACAAGTAGTTGGCAAAACATCATTTGGAAAGCAGAAATCAAACTAATCCGAAGTACAACAAAAGATTGGTGGTCAAATATATCCAAGACTTTAAGCCAATCAAAACAAATCTTCTGTAAATTTTTGATTAATTCTGAAAATGGACACAAATATTTATTTATTACTTGATCATAGGTAGGTCTGATTCTAATGTCTCCAAGAAAAATAGAGTGTCTTCTTTTGGTTCATACACCTTCCCATCATAAGCATTAAGGTCCCACAGATGTTCCTGAAATCTATAATTAACATAAAAATATAATATTCAATAGAATTATCACATCAAAGTTGATTTACAAATAATTAAATGATTTTGTGATTTTATTTCAAAAAGACATTAAGAAACATTTTATAAAATTAAATTACTAAGCACTTCAATGTATTTCTTCCTATGAAATCAAAACATTGTGCACTTAGTGTTGTTATATTTGATATATAGCATTTTCAAGTCAATTTCAACCTTTTCCAAATCAAATTCAACCTTTTCCAAGTCAAATTAAACCTTTTCCATTTCAAATTCAACCTTTTCCAAGTCAAATTTAACCTTTTCCAAGTCAAATTCAACCATTTCCATTTCAAATTAAACCTTTTCCAATTCAAATTCAACCGTTTTAATTTCAAATTAATTAATGTTTTAATTTCTTGTAAATTTTATATATTTTTTTAAATAATGACCATCCCCTCTCCCCCTCCAATATGAAGGTCTATTATTATGCTCTCCTAACTAGAATTTTCACTTAGAGATATCGATTTATTGTACCTATTTGGATTTATTAGGGACTAGTATTATGCTGACCTGTACCTAGTTTTTAAAATAACCTCCATTTTAAGATTACGCCACTGTGTTTCGACTTTTTTAAGTTTTTTTGATTTATTCGATACAAGGGTGTATTCTTATGTTTCCCGAGCCGTAAATATTGAAAATAAGCTCCATTTTATGATCAGGCCACAGCGTTTTGACTTATTTAAGTTTTTTGAATTTATCCAATATGAAGGTCTACTTTTATGTTTCCGGAGCCGTAGATTTTGAAAATGCACTCCATTTTAAGATTAGGCCACCGCGTTTCGACTTATTTGAGTTTTTCGGATTTTTTTCATATGAGGGTGTATTCTTATGTTTCCGGAGCCGTATATTTTGAAAATGGCCTCCATTTTAAGATTAGGCCACCGCGTTTCGATTTCTTTTAGTGTTATAAATTATTTTCATAAAAGATCGTATTCTTATGTTTCCGGAGTCGTAGATTTTGAAAACGACCTCCATTTTAAGATTACGCCACCGCGTTTCGATTTCTTTAAGTGGCTCGAATTTTTATCATAAAGAGTGTATTCTTATGTTTCCGGAGTCGTAGATTTAGAAAATGACCTCCATTTTAAGATTACGCCACTGCCTATCGACTTATTCAAGTTTTTGGAATTTATCCAATTTAAAGGTCTACTTTTATGATGGCGGAGCCTTAGTTTTTAAAAAGACTTACATTTTAAGATTAGGCCACTGTGTTTCGATTTTTTAGTGTTCTTGATTTTTCCTTCGAATAAAAAACAAAATACGAAGGATTAATTTATTTTTCAATAAATTAATAAAAATATCTAATCGAAATAAATAAAATATCTATTGTCTCATTTTTAATTTTATTTTAGTTATCTTTTTAATGTTGTGGTCTGCTGTAACAAAATTATAAGATTTCGAACAATTAGCTGAAAAATCTGTTAAATTTATTACCAGTTGCTTTTCGGCTTTTTAGTTTGTAATCTGTGGTTAATTTAACTTTAGCTTCATAATATTTATTTATTTATTTATTCATACTCGAAAACATATTGATGAAACTTTGCATTGAAAAAATCCAAAATGAAGCCTAATTAATCGAGATGGAGCGGCTTAGTCATAAAATGGAGATTAAATATTAGATAAATTTAAATATTAAAGATTAGAAAAATTTCTATACGTCTCCGATAACATATAAGTAGATCCCTATACCGAAAAAGTAAAAAAACACTTTTATAATCCAAAACACAGTAGCATAAACTTAAAATGGGGTCATTTAAAAAATCTACTGCTCCAGAAACATAAAAGTAGACCCTTATATATGATAAATTCTAAAAACTTAAATAAGTTGAAACGCAGTGGCGTAATCATAAAATAGAGATCATTTTCAGAATCTACGGTTCCGAAAACATAAAAGTAGACCTTTATATTGGATAAATTTGAAAAACTTAAATAAGTCAAAACGCAGCGGCGTAATCATAAAATGGAGGTCATTTTCAAATCTACAGCTCCAGAAACATAAGAATACATGCTTACATCGAATAAATAAAAAAAACTTAAATAAGCCGAAACACAGTGGCGTAATCTTAAAATGGAGGCCATTTTCAAAATATACGGCTCCGGAAAAATAAGAATACATCCTCATATCAAAAAAATCCGAAAAACTCAAATAAGTCGAAACGTGGTGGCCTAATCTTAAAATGGAGGTCGTTTTCAAAATCTACGGCTCCGGAAACATAAACGTAGACCTTTATATTGGGTAAATTCTAAAAACTTAAATAAGTCAAAACGCAGGGGCGTAAACATAAAATGGAGGCCATTTTCAAAATTTACGGATCGGGAAACATAAAAATTCACCCTTATATCTAATAAATCAAAAAAACTTAAATAATTCGAAACAAAGTCACCTTATTTTAAAATGGAGGTTATTTTCAAAAACTACTCGTACGATAACAGACCCACACATCGAAAAATTAATAATAATTAAACAAATAAAAAAAGGTTGAATTTGAAATGGAAAAGGTTTAATTTGAAATGGAAAAGGTTTACTTTGAAATGGAAAAGGTTGAATTTGATTTGGAAAAAGTTAAATTTGACTTGGAAAAGGTTGAAATTGACTTGGAAATGCTATATAAACATCAAAAATGTACTTAGTGACTTTTTGCAATCAATCGAAGATATAAGCAAGGTAAATAGAATAAAATAAAATTAATTTACTTTTCTTTGATTTCCATTGTAAGTAAAGTTGGACTTATCTGACTTGATTCTCCTTTATTTCCTCTTTGTGATAGCTTTACTCAAATGGTTATGGAGTTTTTGCAGAGGATCCTACAAAGTATAAATAGATTTTTTTTTAATAACAGCAATTATATCAAAAATCACCTTCAGTATCTATAAATATCTGGTGTTTATGGTATTGATATGACAATGACTATTGCTGGGGAAAACCAGTTAGATGATCCTTAATGTGAATGCTTGATGGCTACTTACAGGTCATCAAGTAATCTTAGCTAGAATGAAAGTTTTCGTTCAGTTAATTAATCCTTACTAATGCATAATACATTTTTTTTTTTTTTTAAGTACGAGCCAAAAGTAGATCCACAACCTCATGACAAAACACTACCAAATACATTTTTACTTCTAATTTCTAATAGATTTTTTGGAAAGATATTGAAACAATAGATGATTTATAAAATCATCGAGCTTATAAAAATGCACACAAGTATTTAATCTTTTTATTTCCAATTTATAAATCTTGCATTTCTTTGCTGAGTACCTATAATATATTCTGCTTAAGCTATTGTCAGTGATTAGTGATCTTACTTATGGTAATCTAAATTACAAGTTTAACATGTTGTAAAAGGTATATTCTATATGAAATTTTAATATACAAAATTTCCCTGTCTTAAGACCAATCATTAACTTGAATGAAAATATTCTACTATTCCTCAGAGCTACAATGAATAATTTCAAGCGACATTAGAGACAACATCCTAACTGATATGTTAACAACGCTACATAGTTTTATTTTGGTAAGCTTTAACAAGTAAAATTTGTCTTTAATGCATTAACCAGTTGTCGAACTAAATTGCAATAGTTAAAGCTTTATTATTTTTTTCTTGACAAAATATGAACTGTAAAAAAAACTAATAAATTTAGTTCATACAAAAAAAAAAAAAGCTTTTGTAGTTTTGTTATTTAAACAGTTTCATTCTTGTTGGAAGTTGTATCCCATAATTGCTTTTTTTAAGTATACCTACTATTTTTACACAAAAATCAAGATGAAGTTTACAATTTGCGTTGTGAGTTAATAGGTCGGTTACATCTACGTATATATTTCAAATATACTATTTTATTTAATCTTTTAAGATTCTTAGTTCAGAAAGAAATACATTGACCTTTTATTATCTCAATATTTCATGCGATGAATAACAACTGCATTTCTGGCTTATTTGTCATGATAAATTTTTTTCTAAAGCAAATCATTACAGATCAACTTTATAAAACATTATAACTATCAAAAATAAAGTTTATAGCCTAATATAAAGATGTAGTACTTTCTTAAAACAATTTTTTCTATACATATATATAGTAGTTGTTACCTTTAAAACAATCGTTTGATGAGAAAATGCCTTAGCGAGTAATAAATAGTGTTTAATTTGTTCAATTCTAACTGATGTTCATTCAATCAGTTATCTAAATTGTGTTCTCATTCCTTAATTATTTATGATAATCTTTAATGTTAAATAATCATTCAATCTAAAATTACTATACTTTTAATTACTTATTAATTAATTTATTAATGTTGAAAAAATATTTCTATTGTTATTTATTAATACTAAAGTAAAATTTTATTACCTTAAGCAAGTTACCATCTAATGTTTTTCTTCAAGTAAGCAATTTCTAATTCCATTTGTGTTATCATTAGGATTTGTCTAATTCTTTCCTACAAATTGTTTTGAATACCCTTCAATTTAAATTGACCTCAACTTAATGTTTTGCAAATTCAATTTTATTAATTATATTCTATTTTATATTGTGTTTGCCTTTCTGATTATTATTAGTTTTAATACTAAAAATTTTGCTATATTTAGCTATAAATAATATTTAAAATGGAAATAAAACTCAAGATTATTTATTGTGCTATATTTAGATAAAGTTGTAATGTTAAAAATTTATGGGTTTTTAATATTTCTTTTATTTGATTCATTTTGGTTTTGTAAATTTTGAAAATTCTATCGTTAATATAAGTCTTACCTTTACAATTTTTGCAGTTTATTTTACAAAAGACATTTTGCTTATTTTGTTTTATATTCTCTATTTCATATTTGTTAAAAATATATCAAATTCATTATTAATTTGTGTCTCACATTTCTAAGGTCATATTTTTAAAAAAATCATTTTTAATTTATCTGTCATTTTGGGCATATATTTATGATTATGAAAACTTTTAATATTTGATGTTTCTATTCTATTTTTTTTGTTCATATCAATTCCTCATTATAACAAAATCTGATCAATATGTGCAGTAATGAGAACTAATTTCTTAGCCTCATCAAAAATAAAACATTCTCAGAATATTTTTGAAGATCCTCACTTACCCCTTTTTCTTACTTAACAGTCAATTTAAACTGCATTCTTTATATGAAACATCATTCTCCATAAAAAGAATTTATAATGGAAAACGAATTTCGTCTCTTCCTCTTCTATTCACTTTCATTGAGCTCAATCCAGGAAGCTCTGAACCATCCCTCTTCTCAATCCCCATTCCAGCCCTCTTCTGTCAAAGACCTTTCGGACTCGATCTCTTCTTGTTTTTTCCTTCCATTCAGAATATCATTAAGAAATTTAAGTAAATTACTTTCTTTGTGTTTTTGACACTCCTTTTTTCTCCCATTAGACCTTTCTTAAGGAAATTGAAACACTTGCTGCTGGCAGCTTTTATCGTTTAATTCATCCCAACATTAGTCATCCATATTCATTCATATGAGCACCAAGATATTTAAAATTCTTTAATTTTATTAAATTATATTTGGTTCAATCTTATAACTCGATTCTCCTGTTTGCTTTTTCTTCCTACTCTCATGATATTTGTTCTTTCTGCATATATAATCATGTCAATATTTTCCAATTCATTCTGGAGTATGTTCATGTTCAATTTAAGGTTCCTACAATTATTTGTGAATATGATTAAATTTTCCTTGGAAGCTAGATGATCAAGGTAGGTTGGTATAAGATTTCTGTATCCCAAATTGTATAGTCTCAACTTTGAGACTAAGCTTTTGCAAAAGCAGTGGATTCAGGATGTCTTGCATCCTTGCCTAATGTCTTCGGTGGTCTCAAATTCTCTTCACTCAAGTGGGGGTATCTTTATTTAAATATATTATCTGATCTAAAACTATTAAACTTCAGTAAATGTATTTAAGGTTATAACCATATGTTTTACTCATCTATGAAATATTTTTATTTTCCACTTCATCTTTGACATAAGTACAATAAAATATTTTTTTAGCAACTCAATTTTCTCGACTCTGTGGATTATATATGATTTTGTTTCACACCTAAAATAATTTTTAAAAAAATTACTATTAGTTAGGGAATTTAATTTAGTTTCCATGGGAACATTTGTTTTCTGTTAAGTAAGATTAATTTTCAGAAACTGTAATTCATAATTTTTTCGTTACTCTACATTATCTTCTATGACTTTGTATGTTAGATATCTTTTCCCTGAAATTCTCAGCTTTCCAATGATATACATTCTGCCTGTTATTTTTGGAAATTCATTTTCACCCTAAAAATACATTTTTCCTTTTTTCTCCTTTTCAATGACCAAATTCTTTCATAGGTTGTATTGAGCATTTTTTATTACAACTAAAAATTAAGGACAATTGATTATTTAAAATAAACCAAATTAAAGATACTTTGGAGGAAGAAATTTTGATCATTAGGCATTTAAGCCATTAGGTAACATCAATTAGGATGAGACCTAGTTGATATTAAAGACCACTTAATTGTGCATTGGTATACAGAGTTTAATTGAAATTGTTTGAGCTGTTTTTGGGGAAATTGAAAAAGTGGCGCTTAGCTGATTTCAACAAAAATGCTGCTGTAACATCCCAGCCCTATACTTACCATTAATACACAATTTCAGTTTGTACGATTTTCCACTTTAGAGCTAGACTGTTCATATAAACACACACAGAGACTATGTTGCAAGACTCGGTTATTAAGATTCACTGACCTCAAAACATGTATTTATTTTGAAAATTCGGATTCGAAAATTTTTACGATCACTGTACTCTCTCTTACTAAACATGGTGTCCCGTAAGTAGAAGCAAATTTTTATAGGAGTAATAGTAGACCTCAAGAGCTACGACAAAGTTCATAAAGATAATAGGCCTATTTTCAGCAGACAATCTAAGTTTTGTGTTTTTCTAAGCAAGTCTTGCTTTTTGTTGAACAGAAAGCTTCACTGTAAACTAGACAAAATTTACAGTACTTTTTATCCTGTGTCATAAAAACACTCGCGTTTTTACCAAAAATTACTACAATTAATTGTTGGAAAGCTTTTATTAATTAATATAATATAATTAATGCTATATCATGATCATGGAAAAACGTTATTTAAAAAAAATTAATTTAATAATTGAAAAGTATATTTAGGCAGTGATTTTTCAAATATTTTCCAGGTAAATTAGTTATGAAACTGTGTCTTTTACCTAGAACTTTATTATACAAATTAATCTGTATTTATGAGTGAAAAACTAAACGGTTCTAGTCCTACAATTTACGCTTAAAATAAATAAGCCTGTTGATTTCTACAATTATTTTCATGAAAACGTAAATTTTAGTACTAAAAACATTTAGTTATTTACTCATAAATACGGATTAATTTTTATAATAGATATCTGGATGAAAAACACAGTTATATAACCAATTTACCTGAAACATATTTTAAATAAATTAATAAATAAAAAGTGTATTTAGACAATTGTGTTTATTATGATTCATTCAAAATGATAGAAAAATATAAAGTAAAAGCTTTGCAACGATTAATTGGAGTCATTTTTGGTGAAAACATGGTTACTTTTAGAGGACAGGATAAAAAAATCACATAATTTTTTTTACAGAGCTTGAGGTGAATTTAGATTTTTTTCTGATAAATCTCAACTTAATTAATATGGACTTAAAGGTTATTAAACAATGAAGTTTTTCTAAAAGTGGGTTATCAATAATGTAGTTGCATGATGACAAAAAAAATTATGAATAACTCATGATTTTTTAAAAAAACAGAACTTGGCTTAGTTTAGCCACTCAAAAGTTCTCTTTGAATGGTTTTAACAATGACAAAGTCAATTTTCGTTTGAAGTAATTTTTTATGGTTTAAGGTGAAGCAATTCATTATTACTTAAATTAAGTATTTCTTTAGCCATTGCTTCATATTCAACAAAAAATATGACACTTAAAAAAACATAAAACTTGGATTTTCTACTTTTCTTCTGAAAATTTGTTAATTGTTTATATGAACTTTATTGTAGCTCTTAAGATCTGCTATCACTCTTATAAAAATTTCCTTCTACTTACGGGACACTCTGTATAGTTCCTATATAGATAAGTGTAAGTAAAAAATATTGAATCCTATAAACAAAAAGAGCTTAATCCTTTTCTTACAAAGGGTTATAAATAAATCCTATTATTTCCTGCCACACTTAGGAGTCCAATGTTTTTTACCTACTTCCATAAATATCTATAACAATTAGAAAGTATATTAAAGTGAAGGTTAAAGAAAAATCACAAAAAGTATAAACATCGTTTATTCTGAGAACAACACTTTATCAATCATTAACATATTCATTTTAAACAGTACCTTATACAAAAAAAAAAAAATATATATATATATATATATTAAATTCCCTTTGTAAATCGTAATATAGATAAATATTCACCAAGGATTCTTCTACTTTTAATATTATCTGCTTTAAAACCCATGTTTTCGAGTATCGTGCACATTTCAAGGGGATTATTCTCTGATATAGCCACTAAATATCCAACAGATTTTTCCGACATCAAATCATTTAAATATGGGAACAATCTAAAAAAATATTATTCAATTAATAATAACTGAATGAGAACTCACAAAATAACTTCTAACTTCTAACAAAATAACTTAATAAATAACTTCTAAGATAAGATAAGATAAGGTATAAAAATGGTAAAATTACATGCACCGAACACTGAGAATGTTTATTGCTCGTCTAGAAATGATTCACCCATGAAACTGAGTTTGGTAAAACAACTAAATTTAAAATAAATAAATTCATGGATCACACATCAAATAAATCCACAATATTAATAATCTTAAGTTTTTTATTAATAACATAAAATGATAATTAATTGTGTGATATTTTTATTATCTGAACTAAATTTCCTGTTCTTTCTCATTTCAATCAAAATTTAATTTCTTTAACCAAAAACGTAGAATTACAGCCAATTTATAAAACATGATTCAAGATTTATTAGAGGTTCTGTATAATTTTGGATAAATAACCTTCCAAAGAAAACAGGTAATGGAATGTTAATAAATTTTATACTTCTCAATTTGTTCATTTGGTGTTTAATTTCCAAATACACTCTAACAAGGGCAGGAAGAATTATTATTCTAAACATAAACTATCTATCTAAGGTCTGTTATGAAATAAATTTTAGCTAGTCCTAGCCAGATTTAAATCTCATCTGGCTCGAGAATGTTGTACTTCACTGCACAATAATTCATAGTACCAACAAAAAACAAAAAAAAAACAAATTTAACTCGTGTTCAAGTCAACTTTCATGAAACTAAATTATTGGACATTTTATTTACTATTAAAGTTTAAATCTTAGTTAAATAACACAATGTTAAGACAATTTTTTAGAATCAGCATTTATTTCAAATGATTTGGTTTTAGATATTGCTTTTGAAATTAAAAACAACTTTACAAACTGGATTTCTAATTATAATAACTGCTAAGAACTTATAGATAAAGAAAACTATTACAACCTGTTAGTAGTTGCTCTCCCATCCACACCACCTGCCCAAGCTTTATCAATTAATTCATTTCCAGCTTTGTCTTCTGATGGAACATACGGCGGATTAAAAACCAAAACATCTATAAGATTCTTCAACTTTAGGCCATTTACAAGGTCCCCTTGAATAGCATTTACCTACAGAATTTTTTCAAAAATTGTAATTACAATACTTTTCTCCTAATTATATATTTCATAAATGAGTAAATTGAAGATTAAATAATAAAGTAATGAGACAAAAAATAAACAGAAGGTATTTACAGAGGTTCCATTTAACTTAGCGGTGTTTTCAGTTGCCAAACAAGCTGTGGGATTAATGTCTATTGCCATACAAAACGAATTTTGACAAGCTCCTGCAAGGGATGAAATAATAATTCCAGATCCACTTCCGATTTCCAAAATAATTGCTGGATTCAGATTTCTGCAATTTAAAAACATGAATATATATAGATTACAAGTTTAGGATTATATTGGATGAATCCATAAGTTCGTTCGGTATTTGTTAGTAGTGCGAATTGTTTTCAAATATCTCCAGTTTTCTTTGCCTTATAAGACAATAATGATACTTATCGGAAAAGTTAAAGTCCGTTCTTCAAAACTGTTGTGTTTCGTTTTATTGGCATTAGTTTTGTTTGTGCTACAGCGTTCTAAATATTTCAGATGATAAAGTGAATTTTCGATATTTTTTGCTTTATTATTTTATAAAAGGCAAGCTAGCTTCAGAGGTCTGCCGAAAGATATGTAAGGTATATGGGGAAGACATCTTAACAGAACGTACTGCTCAAAAATGGTTTGTCAAATTTCATCCCGGAGAAACGAGTCTCGAAGATGCACCCCGCAGTGGTCGGTCCACTGAGGTAGATTCGTTTGATATCAAGGCTCTAATCAAACAAGACCAGTCGCTACAGGTACGAGAAATTGCAGGAACACTGAAAATATGTTTTGGGAGTTCAAAGACATTTTTTAAAACAGCTTGGCTACGTGTCCTGCCCTGATGTTTAGGGGTCACACAAACTGACAGGTAAATCTGGCCAACCAAATATCAATCTACAACTCTCTTCTGAACCAGCACAAAACGGATTCATTCTCAATCAAATTGTGACGGATGAAGCGTCTCCAACAATATAGTGAGCAGATCGTGGACAACTGCTGACGGCCGCCTAATGCCACCCAGAAGGCCAGAAAAGATTTTGCTCTCCATGTGGTGGAACTATTGCCGCGAGCTGTTTTAATAGTTGCTTCCACAAGGAAAAAGGATTGATTCAAAGATCTACTGCATGCTGTTGAAATTGGACCAAGCATTGGGACTGAAACAGCCAGAACTAGTCAATCACAAAGGTTATATATTCCACCATGACAACACCAGACCACACTTTGCAATAATCACACAGTAAAAGTTAGTGCAACTTGGATGGAATGTTTTCTTACATCCACTGTATTCACCAAATCTGGTACCATCCAACTACCACTTATTCTGGTCACTCCAAAAATCCTTCCATGGAAATTGTTCGCTGATGAGAGACATGTGAAAATGTATCTCGATCAGTTTTTCGCTTCTAAGCCCAAGATTTTTTACGAGAGCGGAATAATGAAATTGTCAGAATGATGGCAAGAGGTCATAAATAAAAACATCAAATACATAATAGAATAAAATGTATTCTTTGTATAAAAAAAACATGCTTTATTTCACCGTTCAAATAATGAACAAACTTATGGATCCACCCAATATTTTTAAATTTGGGTGCATAATTGTAGGAAGTGTCGATTATAACTGACTAACAAGGGAAGTCCATATAACTTACGAACTACAGTCAGTAAGTCACCGATTTTTTGTTCATCGATTCAACCAATTTTTTTTTTGGTGATACTACATCCAACAATATTGAACACAAATGCCAGCGGTCGTTCCAATAGACTCTACGAGCGACCAAAAAAAAAATTTTATATTATTTCATACAAATGTTATGTTATTTATTTTTGTCTGGATTTTTAATAGTAATAATACTTTATTTATTCTGAAACGAGAATAATACAAAAGACAAAAATGTGGACTAAGGAGCCTCAGAGATATATAAACAATAATCAAAAAGTAAATAAACAGTCATCATAAAAAATTATTAGTTACTTTCTGCCTTTAATCAATGAATAAAAAAATAATGAGAAAACGTGAAGTAAAAATAATTAAGAACGATCTAATAATTTATATACATATTCTCATAGTAATGTCATTTACAATTTTATGGGAACTGGATGGATAAGAAATGATTGAACAGACGGGATTTAAAGGTTGGGAGGGCATTGGAGTGACGGTTTAGGAAGAGATGGAGCTCCATAGGGATGAGGAATGGACAATGAATGATCTGTCGACAATAGCAGTTCAGTGGGTCATAATATATAGATCTGAAGACACACAGCAGGTACTGTGAGAATGAAACGAGGATTTGAGTTGAAGGAGCACGGAGATGTATGAAGGACGGCAGGATCGGATGACTTGGAAGAGGAAGGATGCCAGGAAATACTTACGACCGTAGGAAGGATAAAGCCACTTCAGCTCTTCATAAAAACGGGAAACAGAGGTGTCCCTTGGGACCCCGTAGATCAATTATACAAAGCAATTTATAAAATGTTTTAATTCTGCCTCGAGATCCCCAGAGATGCCCCCTGGGGGCCCCATATACAGCAATAGTCAAAGTGGAGAAAAATTAAGGAAGTGTCTAGGAGCCTACAGGTTTCAAAAGGAAATAGGTGACGGGAATAATTTAGATGTTTTAGGGTGAAAATGGTTCGGTGGGAAATATTGGATACATGATTTTTCCACGAAAGCGTTTGATCAATGGTTATTCCAAGGCTTTTGATGATAGGGTAAAATTTGATGGGATTATTATGTAGAAACAGAGTTGGAATATTAGGAACAGTTTTAAGGAGATGATTGGACCCTACTAGGATTGCCTTTGTCTCCTCTACATTCAACTTTTATAGTAAAAAATGTTTTGAGAAAACTGGTCAGGCAGTACTTTACAACAACTATACAATGAAGATAAAATAAAAGGGTTGTCATTTAAATCAATCAATCATCAACATAAGCAGTTAGCAAAGATTTGGAGAGCAGAAATCAAATGGACAGAAAAACAAAAAGATTTCACTGAGAGTTAAATGTAGTTAAACATAAGATAATCAGAAATACAACAAAGGATTGGTGGTCAAATATACTCAAGACTTTAAAACCAATTGAAACAAATCTCTATATTTTTTATTAATCCTGAAAATTGCCACAAATATTTATTACCTGATCAAAGGTAGTTCTTCTTCCAATGTGTCCAATAATAAAAAACTGTCTTCCATTGGTTCATAAACTCCTCCAGCATAATTATTAAGGTCCCATAGAGGTGTATCAAGTCTATAATTAACATAAAATTATAACAAAAGAATTATCATATCAAAGTTGATATATATATATATACACATATGTAAATGATATCATAGTTTGATTACAAAAAGACATTAAGAAATATTTCATAATTTTTTTTAAAAAATATTTTATTGAGAAATATTACAATCTGTCTCAGGCATAAAATTAAATTACTAAGCTCTTCGATATATTTTCTCCTGCGAAATCAAAACATTGTGCACTTAAGTGTTGTTATATTCGATATTTAAAAGATTCTGTCATTTTCTCCTGCGAAATCAAAACATTGTGCACTTAAGTGTTGTTATACTCGATATTTAAAAGATTCTGTCATTTTTTGCACTTATGTTGCATTAATAAATAAGATCGAAATTTAAAAAAAAATTGTACTTAAAAGCTTAGCAACATCAACAATATACTAAGTGAAGTTTTGCAATAAACCGACTATATAAACAAGGTAAATAGAAAAACAAAATTAATTTACTTCTCTTTATTTTCCATTATAAAGTTGGACTTATCTGGCTTGATTCTCCTTTATTTTTCCTCTTTGCAATATCTTTACTCAATTGGTTATGGAGTTTTTGCAGGCGATCCTACAAAGCATAAATAAATTTTTTTTTTAAATAACAGCATTTATATACATTATTGATATGACAATGAGTATACTGGTATTGGCATTTCTGGGAGAAACTAGTTTGATGGTCCTTAATGTGAACACTTCAAGACTATATAAAGTGCGCCAATTGTGGCGATCAGCACCCACTGAACTACAGAGGCCGTCAGGCGCTGAATGATTTCAGAGTTCAGCGCAATGCAAGAAATTATCTTCAGCATTCCACAGTAGTAGAGCCAACACAAGAACCTTCAGGCATACATGAATTCCCTCCATTACGGCAGCGTTTCAACCAAACAGAAAGAACCATATCATCAACGGACCTCAGCAGCAACAAAATCAACCAACATTGACGGAAGCAGCGCAAAACCAAAAACCATGTATGGGTATGAGGAGAGGCATTACTCAGCCGGCACCTTCAGTAAATTATGGTTACTCTTCCCAGAGTAAAATAACTTAATCCAGCCCCTTTTCTTTCAACAACAATTGTCACAGGTTAAAAGAATAATTTAAATGTATGCTCTCTGTCAATTCTTCTGTGGAATGCCAATAGACAGCAGTGAACTTGACTTATACTTGCAAGAAAAACGGTTCGAAGTAGCACTGATTACTGAAACACACCTGATATCTTGATCAAAAATTTATATCCAGCTATTACAAGTCCATCTGCTGATTATTGATAGTTATAATTTACAGGTGCGAATTAATAAATTATAGCGCAAAAAAAAAAAGAAAGTGAAATGGTTTCCATGATAACCTGATTAATATCCCACCGTCTATCTATCTCTCTATCTATATAATAAAAATGAAAATCTTGGTTTGTTCAAAAGCTATAATCTTTGAAAGTTGTTCACCGATTGCTTTGGAAATTTAGATACAACATTGCAATCCAATTCAGAAGTGTTTTTATATACACTTCATTACCAGCTGGTCTTTCATTTCGAAATTGTGGACGAAAAACGTATGACACTATAAACTGTAGTGCCAAAATAGCTGTTACTATTTTTATGTAACTTGGCTAAAGTCTTCTTGAAGTCTTTTTAATTTATGTATGTAATATCATGGTTATACCCATAAATATTTGAAAACTCTCTGAATTCCTTGCAAATGAAAAAAAAAAATGATCAAAACCGGACAATTTGGTGCAGGAATATAGAGGATATACAGAGGATATTTAAACATATAGTACTTTTTCTTGGGAAAAGACCTACCTACTTGTTTTTGATTAATCTAAAATTTTATAATTACTGAAATAATTGCGATTAACGTTAGAAGAAATGATATCATTCTTCTTATGCAGGTCAACATTAGTATACTTTTTATATTTATATTTTAACCCAATATTCGAAAAACAGTATGATAAACCTCAAATATTTGATATGAAATTATTTAAAAAAGTGAACCATTGAGTAATAATTATCACTATTTTGTTCTAGATTGCTTTGGGAATTTGGATTTTCATAGATTTCAGTTTATTTTATTTTTTATTAAATTAAATAATCAAATATTTTGAGACGGGATGTGCAAAATCGCTCCAGAATTTCATGGAGAAGGAAGAAGACAGCTCTAATGCACATGAAATGAAGACCATGGTTAATGGTATAGCTGAATTTCAATATACAATGCGATACCACATTTAATATTTTTACATCTGAAACATTGAAATGGTGTAATAATATATTTTGAACAGGTGTGTTGCTTTTAGATGTAATAATTCTACAGACGTTATATATACGTGCTGTTTGAAAAAAATAAAAAATAGTTTTACATGACATTTTATCATAGTAGATATATAAAACTACAGGAGTATTCAAATAAAATGTTAAGTCAAAATTGTAAAGTAATCAGTGAAGAACTTCATCCGATTTAAGATTTTGAACAAAAGAACGTTTACATTTGTATTTGATATAAAATAATCAATACAAATTTGAACTTAAACAACATAGTAATTAAAAATATGAAAATATATGTGCTTTCTATTTTCTTTCCTTTCCATTTTGCATGATTGAGCAAGGCATAGCTAGGTAAAGTGAATCTATATAAATAAAAATGCAAATGTTTTCTATCTCTCTTGGGAGAGGATGAAGACAGCTCTATTACACAAAAAACACTTAAAGGATTAAAATAAATGCAATAAGTTCTCTACTTCAAATGGTGTAAAAAATGCATTTTTATCGGTGAATTTTAAATATTTTCTTGAAGAGGTATCACTAAAATCAAAATGATCTTAAACTTTTAAATGCTGGACCCTCTTTTGAAATAGAATTCATTTAGTACACAAGTTAACAATAAATCTGATCCTATAGTATGGCTGATCAACAAATTGAAAGCCATATTACAGGCACAACGACAACACCTAACGATTTTTGTTTCCTACTATGAAGCTATTAACCCAGAGGCTGCAATACAGACAATTTTATCATGCTTTCAATGGATGAGACACCATCTCAGCTGCCTTCGGAATGAGAAAGCTGTGATTTTGAGGTGGTACAAAGGAATCTCCCATCACCATTATCAATATTTTGTATTAATAGATGTAAAATCATTACTAAATTAAATCGCAAATATTTTGACAAAATAGTTACATGCTGTTTATTACAAATGTTGTTTATGAATCTGTGTTCACTATAGAATCACCCTGTGCTTCTAAGAGCAAATTTAACATATATACTGAATGCATTCTATTTCAGAAGAGGGCCCTGGAATTAATAGTTGGTGATTATTATGGTAATAAAAAAACCTCTCCAAAAATAATTTTTAAAATCGCTGATCAAGAATGCATTTTTCACACCATTTGAAGTAGAGAACTTATTGCACATTCTTTAAGTGTTTTATCATATATAGTCACTATATTTCAATAAGAGTGAGATATAGAGCTCTAAAAGTAGATCTATCGGATTCCCATAGTCCATTTTTTCTGGAAAATTTCAGAATTAACACAAAATTATAAATGCTGTGTCTTCTGAATGGTTTAACATAAGATAGTAAAATAATATATATATATATATATATATTCTGGAAGAAAAATTAATACTCAACAAATTTTCTTTAAGATTTAAAGACTTGGCTAGACAAATAAAGATAAATAGCAAAAAAAAATTGATAATTATCGTTTGTAAGAGGATTAATAGGTACTAGTTCACAACAGTTCCGCATGGATTACGCGTGGTTCACAATCACTTCGATCACACTTGTTCATGGAATCCCGAAAACAGCCGAATGTTGTCGTCTTTTATGACGTCAGCTATTGCCCCATAATACAATCCCTTTTCATGCATTTTTGAAAAAAATACAATGTATTCCCTTTGTGGAACTTTCTTATTAAAAAATTGTGTATTTACTAATTAGTTAATTATTAATTTTTATTATAACGGTTATTACTTTGAAAGAAAAAGAAAAAAATACATAAAATAATGCTTGAGTAGTTTCTTCAAGCCCTATTAAAAAAAAAAGCTTTTAGTAATAACATTTTTATTGACACGTGCTTACATGTAGTGGCTGTAAATACGCATATACTGTATATTATCTTTTATAACTGTGTATAATTTTTTTATCATTTGGATAATAAATAATTTTAAGTTATCTATTATCTTTTTTTTTGTTATTCGAGTTTTTCAATAGAAGTTGGAATAATTGAATTTATAATTTATTTTAGCAAGCCTTTTTTAGAATTGCGCAATCGTCTATCTAGTTTATGTATTTTTTTAGATTTCTAATAATACGAGGGGCTATTTTCTAGTGGAGGGGGGCGCTTTGTATGCATATACTGTCTGATTTGTAATTATGATGTGCAATTATTGTTATTCGCAGTTATTTTTCTTGGTAATCCGAAAAAAGGGATTATTGTAGGCTATGGTACAAAAAAAAAGTATTTATTTTCGAGAAAGGAATTAACGTATTTGGGAAACAACTGACAAAGAATATGTAATAATTCCAAGATAATGAATATTGGAAATCATCTATAAGAAAAATAATATCGTGAAATAGCAGCCAGAGATGTAATAATTAAAGATTTTTATGTATTACTATTCCTTTTTTTACAGATCTATAATATATGTACAAGCTCAATTCAGGTTTCATGATGTGTAGCCTAAATTTCGAATGTAAATCTGCTCCTGCTATATAACTGAACATGGTTAAGGTTAAAGTACTTAAATGGCGGGAAAGTTAATAGTAACTGGCCCAAGAGATCGGTCGCCTTCATTCTCTTTCGGAGAAACACGAACGCATTCGGGATTTCAGGAACAAGTGTGATCGAAGTGATTGTGAACCATGCGTAATCCGTGCGGAACTGTTGTGAACTAGTACCGATTAATAATTATAGACACCCATACAAAGGAATAATTCAGTAAACATAACCAATTTGTTATATACAGGGGTATATTAAAGAAAGCTCAAATTCCTGCATTATTTTATGAACAACCCAATATAAATTAAAAAATATATTAAATTTAAAATAATATATGACAGTATGAATTGGGAAGATAATATTATTATCCAATGATATAAATTAAATTTTAAGAAACAAAAGTTTGAAAATAAATTAATTTAATTTTTATGAGAGGCATGTTTAAAAAAGAACAAAAAAAAAAGACACCTTGAAAACATGAAATTACCTGTGCTGCTTGTAAAATATTATTTACAACTGAAATCTTATGACGAGAATTTATTAATTTATTTGAATAAACTTCTAAGTCTATGGGACAAGTTTGATCAGCAGAAATCTTCTTTAGTTCTTCAGATAAAATATCTAACTGCGATTTAAGTTCCAATTGGCTTACTCTGAAACAATGATATAAAAAATGCTTTAAAGAGAAATTAAACCCAAATCAACTTATGTAATGAAAATCCTTTCAAATAAAGATAATACCTTGTTGCACGAACTCTTTCATCTAATTGATCTATTGTCGGTTTCAAAAGGCTCATCAAACCTTCAGCAATGGAATCTCGAGTTGGATTTTCACAAAAGTCATCAGTTTTGTCTTCTAGTGATGTATTAGTACTTCCAGTTTCAGCATCCATAACATTGGATAAATCCTGGGACATCTCCTGTGTGTCAGACATGAAAGAAAACGTTAAGCAAAGATCTGCACTGAAACTCCATTTAAGAAAAAACCCTAAATAAAACTATGACAGCCGATAAACACCAAGAGGTGTTATTTGAAAAGGTTATATTGACATAAAAATGGCTATGTGATAAAACCAAAGAGGTCAGGGAATACATTAAAGATAAAAATCTTTAGAGTGAAATAATTTAAAGAAAACTGAAGAATTTTAATGAAGGAAGTTAGTCGTCTGTTCTACATATCATGAATGATAAATATTCAGGACGCAGTCTTTTTTTTTATAAAAAAATTTGATTTTTCATTTATGCCAACGTTTTAACCCAAACATGTGGGCCATCTTCAGGGCGTGGTTTGAGCACAAAGGGTGTTCAAATACTCTACTTGGTACTTGGTACTGTAGTCGGAGTACTTGAACACCCTCAGTGCTCAAACCACGCCCTGGAGATGACCCACATGTTTGGATTGAAACGTTGGCATAAATAAAAAATTAAAAATTTTTATAAAAAAAAGACTGCTTCCTGAATATTTATTACCCATGAATAATTTTAAGGTCAACGAACAGTTACTTTTTTAAGCTCTTATTCTGAGAACATTAATTCTATTTATAATTATATCTATAATTATTTAGCATAGTTCAATTAGGCGTAAGTTTATTGGAAATCTCATTTGATAGTAGGGATTATAGTTTTAATAATCGTTATTTGTTCTCTTACAGAATTGGTTGATAATATATCATATAAATTTCATTTAACTTTAATTTAACTAACTTAATGTTCCATATGTTTCCGATTTGGCCCAATCCAGATAGTTATCCTTCCATAAAAAAATTCATAATCATCCGAATCCTCTAACCTTGCTTCCACTTCGATAACCCTCTAAGGCGTCTGAAAAGAAGATGGTCTCGTGATCTCCTTATGTAGACATATTATTAGAGTACTACCAATAGGTAGTTTCTCAACAAGCGTTTTCATCTGATTATATTCCTCTGTACACATTTAATTGATGTATTTATACTAGTACAGTTATAAATATCATAAATAATAAAAAATAAATTAAAAAAAATATCAAAAGACAAAAGAAAAAAGTGATTAGTGTGAGTGCATAAGAAAAACTTAGTGACATATCTGATGGAATATCGAAAAATACTATATACAGTGGGTCAAAAAAATATTGGAACACTCCAATTTTCATCCAAATCTCAATATCATTAAGATATTTTCCAGAAATAATATTTATATAAAGTCAAGTAGTCTTTGAGTATTAAATTTTAGAAGCAATGCATGTTCAGAATTCAAAATCTATGTTGAAATAAAAATAAAGGGTAAATTTTGAGTAAAAGTATTGAGACAGTCTACCATTAGCTCCAGTCAAAACAAATTACTCCTTTTTCTTTCGAGAGATTAGAAAGGACGATTGATGATAATACAATAAAAACAATAAAAATCAGCTTTTGCTGTATATTTGCCATAACAACATGTGTAAACTATTCAATATTGTATCAGTTTAAAAAACACACCATTACATTCTAATGGACTTAGCTACCGACTAATACCGAATAAATTAGAAATTGGTTTTAGTAGTGTTCAGAATATAGCACAAAAGTTTAAATTAAACCCCATTTAGAACGGCCACCAAACTTAAATGGGAGGGCACAAAGGTATGTCCATCGAATTGTTGAGCAAACTCGCACATTATCTGCCGCCAAAATAGCAGAAGAGGTCGCATCTACTTCAAATACCATCTTCTGCTAGAAATATAATTCATATAAACAATTATTATGGCAGGTTCCAAAGAAAAACATTTTATTACAGAGGTGAACCGCAAGAAAAGATCTGAGTTAGCCAATAATTAAGTTAATAAAGACTTTGAATTCTAGAAAAATGTTATTCCTTCAGATGAAAGTAAGTTTAACATATTCCATTCGGAAGATGACAAGTACGTATGGCGGAAACTTGACGCTGAGTTTTAAGCTCGGCATTTGAAGCTCACTGTAAGACATCGAGGTGGAAGTGTCCAAATCGGAGGGGGCATGTCATGGAATGGTGTTGGAAACTTAACCTTTATTAACAATGTTATGAATGCCAATCAATATGTCGACATTTCACCACATAGTTTAACAAGTAGATCCGAAAATATGAGGATCAAAGATGCATTTATTTTCCGACAGGACGCCAGGCACATAGCAAATAAAACAAAAGAATGGATATTCTACAATGTTCCCCGCCAATTGAACACGCCACTACAGTCTCCGGACATAAATGTCATAGAACATCTATGTATCTGTTGGGTTTTAAAGTAAAAAAAATAATGGACTAGACCTAACTCAAAATCATGTTTTGACGATGCCAAGAAGATTCCACGGTGATGCCAATGGCATGATGATTAGTACATGCCAAAATATTAATACATATCCAGTTCGTGAAATAACCCTCAAATTAAAATGTGCCAATACTTTTTTGGCCATGTTGAAGTGATTTTCCGTGTACTAATTTTATAAATTAAGTAAATTAAAATGTTTTTCCCAATGATGTATTTTTTAAAAATCTTTTATTAAATTAAAATGTTCAACTAATCAATTTGGATTTTTTCACAATGAAACATGAAAAAAGTTAGGTGTGCCAATACTTTTTTGATCCACTGTAGTTTCTGGGGTGCTTTCCACAAGCTCTGTAACATGTTCCTTTGTGTTTACGTATTGGACCGTAACACTAGGAAACACGCAAAAGTCAAACATAGCTACATTTTTATACACTCGTGGTTGCATGATTTGGGTATTGTTTCGAGATGGCTTATCAGAAATTGAATCTAGAGAAAGGAATACTATGCGCCTGCTTTAATGATAACGATGAGGTTATTTATTCGAATGCATTTGATAGTAAAAATTTCTAAGATTTTGCATTAATTTATGTTCGAACGGAACCACTCAATATATCGATGGAGAAGAATGAGACTATTCCATAAGTTTGGGGGAGGACTTGTCCATGAGGATTGACGCCTATTGTATGGAGGAGCGGTGCAGTTTCTTGCCCCTTTAGTATTACTTCCTGGCAATACAAGAACAAGTAATGGCAACATCCTCCTACAGGAAGTATATTCTACATGAAGCAGTCGATGCCGTCTATGTAAAGCCACAAATAAATCGATTCAACATGTTACCTCTGGCTGCCAGGCATTAGCTGGAAAATAATACCTAGCGAGACACAATAATGCGGCAAAAATCGTGCATCAGGCTCTGGCACAAAAATATAAATTAATAATAGGCCTTTTTATTGATATCAGCCGCAGGCTATATTAGAAAAAGGGAATTTCAAGCTACACTGAGATCAAACTATGATAACTGACCATACTATTTCCCACAATAGACCAGATATACCACTCGTACATAGAAACCAAAAAAGCCATCATTATCGAAGTTGGAGTTCCTGCTGATGATAATGTAGCTAAAACATTAAGAGAAAAAAATGGGAAATGTCATTAGCTTTGCGAGGAATTAAGGCAGTTATACCGGTTGGTGGAAGTAAAAGTACTACCCATTATCGTATCCAGCAATGGCCTGATTCCTGAAGATACTCTAAAATCAATGAAGGTTATTGGATTAAGCTGGAGACATCAGGAAATCCAGAAAGCGGTATTGCTGGAAACTGACAGCATTTTTCGAACATTTTTTAATATTTGAAATTAAATATTCAAGACAAATAATGCAGAAAGTGTGGGCGAAGTATAAGAAATGGTTATTGAGATCATCTGGAGAAAGAGAGAAGGAACTAAGATTATTGGATTCTGGTAGGGATATATTACGGAGTGTTTCCAATTGGATTTGGAGTCGGGAGCATTGGACAAGGCATGGAAGTAGGTGTCTTTAGCAAGTCGGACTGCGGATTGGGCTTCATTACAAAGCGCCTTGAAAGACACATAATCCACAGGCAGACAGATTCGACGGTATTTGCGCATTGCTGCATCTCTTCCCCTCATCATTTTCTTTATCTCACTGGTCAGCCAAGGTGCAGTGGGACGGCGTAAGATTTTGGTTTTCAGAGGAGCCTGGATGTCTAATATGGATTGCAGGTTTGAGATCACGGTGGGTACCATAGGATCAATAGATTTGTAGGAATGTGTAGTGTCTCGTTGGACAGAATTAAGGTCTGATTGAAGAGATTCATGGGAGAGAAGATCTAAATTGCGGAAAGAAACTATTTTGGGAATGAAGGATTTCACGGGTAGGTCGTATGTAATTTGGATCAGGTCATTTGATGAAAGAAATGGAACGGGATGTTGAGAAGAGGAAAGGATTTTGATGGGAGAGTCAGAGATATAGAGATCTAACCAAGGGTCAGAAAATTGTGTGTGATGGGCAGAAGAATAAGGAACAAGATGAAGGTTAAGGGAAAACAGCATGCCAGTAAGGAAGTATCGGGAGATTGTGAACGCATGTTCAGGTTAAAATCACCGGTGATGATAATATTGGTGTGGTTGGAAACCAGGTTAGTAAGGGAAGATTCAAAGAGGTGATTCAAATGGAACACGAGGAGGGCGGTAAGCTACGGCATACAACAGAGGAGTGGAAATAGAGGAAATTTCAACGAACATGTATTCTATGTGAGGAAAATCATGATAAGGAGATTGTAGAAGGATTATGGCCTTAAGGATGTCATGGCTATATAATCCGACACCACCTCCCGTGCGATGAGATCTATCGTGACGTAGGAACGAGTAATCAGATAGGAAAATCTGGGAAGATGGTATAAAAGATTTTAGCCAGGTTTCTGATACTGCTATTATGTGGTAAAAATTGTCAAGGAAATATTTCTGGAACTCATCGTAGTGTGCAATAAGCGATTGTGCGTTGATGTGACAGTAATTCAGGGTATTATTCATAACAGTAGAGATGAAAGTAGAGTTTTGGTTTAAAGGATAGGATATAACATTTTTTAAACAAATACTCCGTTTAAAAATAAAAAAAAAATTCCAAACATAAAATAAAAGTTGAAATTAAAACAATGAATTTCCATTATTTCGAAATAAATATTCAGTTGAATATAATTTATAGCATAATAAAATATAAATATCCCATTGCTTTAAATACATTAATACAGTTTGGCAAATAACCAAATAAAGGACTAAATTATTTAT